GAAATACCACCTTAAATGTTTGGAACAGAATGTCAAACTAAAAACTCTCTGCAATCAAGATTTAGTATAAAACTGAAATAATGTATTACATCTTAAATATTTGTGTTTTTTTATTTTAGCCAATAGCAAACTATGAATTGTCTTGTCAAAGAAAATGAAGTTAAAAAAACATCATTCTGCATTATCAAAGTGAAACAGAAACAGCCTTTTCAACATGCATTTAACATTCATAGCCTTACATCATAACCACAGGCTTTGTTCATAACATCCGTCTCCAAGAGATTCACTTAATCTTTTTCCCCACTGTCATAAAAAGCACATTCACCAAGTGAAAACAACCATGAATAATGTTAAAGGCACTCAACAGTTTAAACTTTCTTTTCATGGCAAACTTTTGCAGCCGATGCAAAACAGCTCAATTTGTGGGCCACACAGTGGTCACTCACTAACAACTTTGACTCCTGATGGAAGCTTCATTCTCTACCTGGGTTCAGTGACATGTCAAAATGGCTTTCTGTAGCCTCACAGACTCAAAACCTATTGCATTCCTCTGATGACCTTTAAAAGATCCATCGCCCCGTCTTCAGGAATGATTACAAGAGTGTGACTGAGTTTTAATGCACCCGCTTGCAGTACTCCGGAGCACTGTCCACCATCCCTCCTTCGCTGGGGGTTCCCTAGCTGAAGCGTGTGCCAAGCTGCCTCGCTTGCTACCCTCCCACTGCCATCACAGTACAAAGTAGGGCATCTGCGTGGCCAGGGGGAGCCGGCATTGTTAGCAGATTACCATGCAGCAGATTAAGCTCAGATGAACTGTTGCAACCTCAAACACCACTTTGCACACATGGAAAGTGGGTTTAACAGCCTTACAGTAAAAAGCTCTCGGCCGCCTGATTGCTGGGTAGCAAGGCTGCTAATCTCCCCATGCATCAGAAGGAGGTCCAGGTGGAAACTAAAAGGCATGGTCCAGTGAGACACTTAAAGAGTCACAATGGATTTTCTCCCAGTGATGCAGACAGTGATAGCAATGTCATAACAGTAACATTCCTATGATCTTGGAATACTCAAAATAAATCAAAGATCACAAATGCATCAAAGCTGTTATTGACACACTATAAACACTAAATGACGGGAGGAAAAGCTGTTTGCGGTGTTTGTTTGTTTTTTAATCGCAGCTTTATTTGGCTTCAGAAACAAACGTAGCAGCCCACTGATGGGACTGTTCTTGATATCAGGCCAAGGAACATGTAATGTGCCTTTGGTTTCTCTAAAATCTTCACTCTTTAAGATCAGCCAAGTATTTTAGAGTAATGAACCAGTAATGAAGCAATGACAGGACTAATAGTATTGGGTAAGATGAATCCCATTAGGATGCTATGTGTATGTGTATTCATACTCTTCCTAGCCAAGGGCTGGCAAAGTGGGTCTGTCTCTTGTTGGGGCTGTGTGGGCTGGGATCTCAGGGAGTTCAATCACCTGTGCTGCGCAGAATTGGCAAATATCTAGTACATGGTCCTTATAATGATGTTCACTTGTTGGGTAACTGCTATAGTCGTCTGCCAGGAGTCCTTAATAAAGGGTGACCGTCTTTTCCTCTGTTGCTGATAAATTTGAAGAGATGCAACATACCAGTCTTATCATGCCAGATTGTCTCTGAAGTTTCCTCAATGATTCATTTACTTTCATATCATGGCATTTTCAAGAAATACTTACAGCAACCAATGCAAGGTGCCCGGATTAATCTTAAGGGCCCATCAAGGAAGACATACCACTTATTATACTTTATTACACAAAGCGGAGGCCAGCTTCCTAAAATCATTGATCCAATTTTAATATTAGACTTCCCTTACCCCCGAGCTTCATGAAGAGAGACTAATATAAATGTTACAACCTGAGCTGGACCTTTAATTTACTGAAGAGGCCAAATAACTTTGGCACAAGTCACTCATTCCAAATCATCTTCTGTCTCTCCCCACATGGGAGAGAGCTTATTATGATTCCAGCTCATCAAGTTCTTTATTCTACAGGATCTGCATTTACCACCACTGGCATCAAGTTTTACTGTGTAGCTCCTTCTTGTTGGAATGTATCTAATCTGGATATTTTACATACACGTTCCTATCACTGTTTATACATCATCAGAATGTATATAAAAAAATAAATTGCGCTGTTTCTGAATCCAATCCACAGGCACTCAGATTATTGCTTTTAACTGAGCTGTAAAAGCTTCCATTGGCCCTGGTACCCCAGTACACTTGGATTTTGCTCTGTTCTGTGTGCTGTTACTAAAAACCCTCCTAGCCTCAGTCTTCCCTGATAATTTATTCCACATACAGCTGCTTCTGCTGTAATCCCTACCCATCTCCAGTAAATACTGAACGCAAATTTTAGGTGTCTGCACGTCCGAAATCGGCAAAACAGAAACAAAAACCACTAAGGCACTAAATCGTAAAAGATCCTCCTCAGTTTCAGAACAGGTGCTGTCCTTGACGGTCTTCATCATTACACCAGGCCTATCACCAAGAAAGCTTAAAGAGGAGGACACCTGTGCAAGAATTTGTCTTGATTTTCCAAAAAACTGATGGACATTTGCATGATTCGCACTTGGAAAGCAATAAACTAAGGGCACAGCTCTCAAATACAGAAGAAAAGACAGACTTTGAAAGGCACTCATTTCCAAAGATCTGTGATAGGGAGATAAAAAAAAATTGGATCTGCCCGTGGGCATCATGAGACTGCCACCGAACAAGGGGAAATCCTTTTGCTACTGCTCAGTTATGAAAATTTTTTTTCACATTAGAAAAACACAAGGATGTTATTTATATTCTACTTCCTAAATACAACCGGACCCTTGATAGAGGAAGGAGGAGTGATCACTTAAGACGACTGAACAATGATCTCACAACACACTATACGTGGAAAGTGGGGGGAGTAAAAGACAATCATTCCAAAGTAGACAACAGATGAAAAAAGAAAACCAAAGCCAAACAAAAGAGGGATTCAGGGAAAATGATAGTTCAAGTTTAGAAGCACCAGCGAGAGTAATTTTGTAAGGCTGTTCTTAAATCACGGTAGTTCACACTTTAAGTGCCCCAGAAGAGAGAGGTGTTTGATCAATGGAAACCCTGACTTGTCATTATTGTACCGCCATGAAAAGAGCCGTATTATTTCAAACCTTTAAAGAAACTGAAGGACACTGATTAGCATTTCTGAAGCCGTGCCACTGCCTATTCATTAGCCTGGCAGCACGTCAATACAGTCTTTTTTTCTGAAGGCGTCTTTCACAGCAACAAAGAGATGGGTTGTCTGAAATCCTGGGCTTTTCACCTGCACATTAAGCCACAGTACCTGTGCTCATTTGTATGCAACTTGAAGCTCAGCTTTCTTTTCTTACAATGCAAGTTCTTTACATCCTATAATATCAGGGACTTTCTCCTTAAATGATATGTTGTCTTTTTACACACACCTGTTGAAAACCTTAAATGTGAAGACGACGGCCCGATTACACCACAATACCTGTAAAAAGTACTCAAAACCGTGCTACCGTTCTAGGACATCCTGGAATTCGTCGTCCGACGTAAATAAGGGACAAATATTCTACACAAAAGCAAGAAGCAAGTGACAGGTGAACAAATATTTACCCAGAAATCTTTCTGAGGTGAAATAAAGCCCCAGAGATGAAAAGCGGTACACTGCAACTCGGGGGATTGTGCTGAACAGCGCTTTAGTAAACGCCTTCAAGCAAACCTTCCAGCAATTATTAGAATGCCACTATCTCAACATCAAGAGCACAAACACCGTCTGGAGGCACGAGAATACAATGCTCCCAATTTCAGCTGTTATACAGCTCCAACTGTCAGACTTGCCCTGGAGGGAGCACTTTCACTTGAGATTTTAATTTAATTCAATCCCTGGCCTCCAAAGGCAACAGAAGACAAATGCGACCATCTACAGAACCAGCCAGGACTTATTTTTATTTAACAATGCCCAAACCATGCCAGGAGAAGCTTAAATGCTGCCCACCAGGGGTGGCACTTGTCAATTACCGACGGAGCTGTTCACTGTGCAAAGTCCAGCCTTTTTGTCTCACTCTGCTGGCCTGGCTCTCCTTCTCATGCCACCTTATGTCTGAAGGTGGACGGTGCCAAACGGGGGAGAGGGTTGCGTGTGCCCAAACCGTCCCCAAATACTTTCGGTTTAATAAGACTGATTTGAGGCCACTCCACACCAATTTTGAGTTGATTGACCCTTATGGATCCAATGTTGATTTCTGGGAGCCTGCAGTAGAAGAAACCTCCCTCCTAGAGCAACATTCTTGTTTGTTTAATACAAAACGTGGGGCAGAAACAAAAGAACCTTTAGGCTAGAATCCTAAAAACCTTCCAACAGCACCATGTCTAAATCCTACCTTTCACAAATGCTCTTATGTCAGCCCGATGCTTACAATAGGCTGAAAGCTGGCAGCAGCCTCTTCCCCTCCATGCAAAATTTATATGATGCCCACAAATAATTTATATCCCCTGGTAACAGATGTTTGCAGAAAACTAAATGTATCTGCAAGGCCCCAGCTATCACAGAGGGAGAACAAGAGGAAGCCTCGCACTTAAACCTGTCAGCCGCACCTGGGATCCAGCATCCAAGATCTGTTTTCATCCTTTCGCTAAGCTTGTAAAAGCACAGAGACTTAACGGAACTGTCAAAGGCAATCGAGCACATAGCACAGCTGAAAGAGAGCAATGTCCTCAGTGCTGAATTCAGGATGCAGGGAAAATTCTTACAAAAAAGCTCAAGAGTCAACCACCTTCTCTCTTCAGTTCACACAATATGTACCACAGCTGCAAACCTTTTAAGTGAAGTGAGGAGCAGCCAGCCGACAGCTTTTCGAATGAACCTGAGACAAAAACACTGGCTCATCAGCGAGGAGAGGCAATCCCGGGCACACATAGGGCCATGTTTAGGGTATTTAGCGGGGTCATCCAAATCAGACAGAAAGCGCATACCTTTCACTTCCGGGCTGGAACTCGGACAGCAGGGAAGGCCTGCGGCGATGAGGCGGAGGCAGTCCTCCATGGGCGATGTGGGAGTTGTAGTCCCGAGAATGAGCATGGTACTCGGGGATCCCGACGTCCTAGAAAAGGCAAAATCCCGAAACGTTTAGAAATGCACGGCGCCACTTTCATTTCTGCGTGGAGAAAGATGCGCTCGAATCGTGTCAGGCTGCGTCAGCCTCCTTTTGCGTCTCTGTGCATTTACCGAAGGAAGTGTTTCTTCGGCGGCTATCAGCATAGGAAGCACAGAGAAATGACAGGGGGACAGGAGGAAAAAAAATTGTAAGCTTGCTTTCCAAGCTGAGCTGCAAAAATACGGTATTAAGCTAAGGCTGACAACAGAGGCCTTGATTTTTGCCTCTACCTCTCTCAAAGAAATATTCATATTGCAGATCCAATAAAATCCGGTGAAAACAATTAAGTCAAGACCCAAGACAGAGACCTTCCTTCTGGTAACATGGTCTCACGAGTCAATTATTGGTGTAATGCCTCTGCTTCACAGATGCGTTCATCGGAACAGTCCTAGGGCTACAACTGTTGAGTCATAAATTAAGCAAATGATGCAAAGTTACTGAATTGTAATAACACTACACAATAATGAGAACAGCAATTTACAAAGTCCAAAACACTGTGCTGTGGTTTAACTGCATGTCGCACAACTGCCATCTCCTATTATCACAGGCCTGGAAAGACGAGAAGAAAATGAGAGGAAAAACAAACCAAAACACAGCTGTGCTGATCCAGGGAGGTATTTCTGTGTCCTTTAATTGTTGATGGGAGTGAACTGTGACAGAGCGAGTGCCATGTGACGCCTTTAAAACGCAGTTTTCCGAGGGCTCACCAAGACAGACTGGGCTTAATCCAGTCATTTATTCAATTATTTAAACCAAGTGACAGTTGGGGATGCTGGTCACTGCAGCTAGACTCTTTATGGCTCACCCTCTCGTGTAAAGAGTGATAGAGCACAAAAGGGAGTTTTCTTTGCAAGCACTGCCTCGCTTTAATCTACAATAAGCACAATGTTCACACATAAGAACATTAACAAAAAAGAGGAGACCAGTGAGCCAATCTAGCACATTTTGTATATAGTAGCTGATTGATCCAAGAATGGGTTTCTGCCAAAATCCTGAGACCCACAGGCCTTTATCTCACACACTTGTTTTATTTCCCCAAAAATGAGCGCTCATCCGGTGCAATCCTTCAAAATATTTGGAGAATATTCTAAAGAATTAAATATTCTTATATTCTTGAAAATAAATATTGAATCAAAAAATATATTTCATTATAAAAAGACTAGTTGTGCAACATGACAACAGGATACCAACCAGTAAAGAATGCACCATGCTGAAGAGTGCCCTTCATATCACGTATGTTCATACCACTGAAACGTTACTTCACATTCACCAATTACTGCTAGATAAACAGTCCACAGTGCCTGGATGGTTTCAGGTGCCCTTGGTGTCTCTGCTTATATCCTGTCCCTCACTAGCAGCATTAAAATGTTTTTTTACAGCACTGGAATCAATCAATAAAGACCATAACCTCAGCATGGCTATTTCTGGAACTGATGTGCAATAAAAACAGAAAAATCAGCCACACACTCAGAGGTGGAAAGTTGTGGCATCTGGCTTGTAACAGAGGAAGCAGACATCAAGAGACAACTGGGGAGAATGAAGAGCAGGTCGAAGGAACAACAGTGTAAAAAAAGCCAAAAAATAAGTATTGCACTTTTAACGTTAGCCTTTATCAGGCAGATAACATTTCAGAGTTTAACAATCTGAGCAGGAAAATAAAAGTTTATGTAATCGTCAACATCACTGTATCTCCTTAACCACTATTAGGTAATAGATCTTCATTTAATGTTATATTGCATAGCCTTGAGATGAGGCAGGCACAGCACTGGGTATAAAACAACATAAAGCTCAGCTAGGTCTGTTATCTTGCCCTTAGACACTATGCAAAGCCTGTTGCAGATGCAGTCAGTTGTGCAGAAGGTTGAAATATAAACCACATGGGGGAAATTGGACTGTTTCACCTTTGATGTTGTTTTTGGAACATAATTGCATACTTACACTTAAACAGCATGAAGATGCAACACATTCTAACGTGGTTATAAAAAGAATCTTTTGCCGCTATTGTAAACAGCAAGAAGACCAATAGGGGTTCATTGCTTTTAAGTGTCAGAGTGAGGACAGTTAAATGGACACATGCTCTCACGTTCAGGCAAGATGATCCACGCTGCCCTTTTCCTTACAAATCCCTAAGTGTTCTGGCCCTGTGCTATTAAGCCATCAACACTAGTGCCACTGAAAAATCACATGACTATAAATATACAAGCATGAACTCTCATGAAAGTAAGTGTGCTATTCGACTGAGGAGCGAACCCATTTGCTTAACCTGTGTAAAGCAGCTAAATAATCTGATCTGTAAATAATTTCACCCTGCCTGCATTCCCATAGCTGTACAGAGTTCAGGCAAGTGCTACAATATCAGCTTACGTATGTTTAGTAATCCCGCACGAAACATGTGACATAGCTGCCCCATTAGATAACTGTTATTCTTGCTACAGAGGGGGAACTGGCAGGCAGGAGTGAGGGTCTGCCTGCAGTGAGCAGTGATGGAGTGCTTTGTTAACAAAAGCAAGAACAGATGACCTCTCCAAAAACACGGAAGTCGCGGACAGGTGCGGCGCAGCGGGCTTAGCTTACCGGGTGGGCTCTGGCCAGCTGAAGTGGGAGCACAGGGGGATTGGCCAGATGACGGCTCTCCACCGGCCGCCTGCTCTGGGGCACAGGCTGGGAGTGTCCGGACATGTCGGGGACGGCACGAGTCCCTCTACAGGTGGCAAGTGGGCTTGGAGTCACTGCATGCGATGCTCATGGTCAACCTGAAAGAGATTGGAGAGAGAACCGAGCATCACTGGCTGCTCACTGAGCTCCTGCAGCTGGTAGAGGCGTTATTTTCCCAAATCGCGTCTGAAGAGGCAAAATAGGGTGGTATTTCAGGCTGAGCTGTCTCCGAAATGCTAACCTGGGACTTTTGGTGAAAGAACAGCTGTTGGTTTCCTATTAGCCCCTGTGGGAAGAGGTGAATAAAAAGAACAAAACTGCCTCAGCTCTGGCCGGATAGATCACTCTTAACAGATTAAAAAACGTTTTTCCTTATTTTGGCTGCATGAGCCAGTGGTCAGTTTCTATACCAGGGTCACAGCTGATCTTTGTACTCCAAAAAGCAAAAACGACCATCCACTATCAACATTCTCCCACTAACCACATGCAACATATTGAGAAACAATAAGACCGTTCAGGATCTACACAAATGTCAACATTCCTGGGGAATAAGAGTCCTTAAAGTGCCGATGCTACCAAGGGTCAAGAAAAACCTTACACACTTTGTGGCTACTGTGGAAGCTACTGTGCAGTCCTTCTCCCTTGCCCCTGGTCTAAGTATCAGCTTACTCTTGAGGTCCTATCACTTACTTTGACTGCATTAATAAGAACTCAGACTGGGTCAGAACCTCCCCTATTTAATATCCCTATCTGTATGATGAGTCACTATGTCCTTTTCACCGTGCAGAAAGTGCCTCTTTCAACTGTAAGATGAAGTTCCGCCATTTATTATCTGACAAGCAACATAAGGTGGATATCTGCTGACTCAGGCACGATTTCGGGTCTCGAGTTCACAGCAGTTGCAAAAAGGATGAAAGCGTTCACATTCGTGACGCTGAATCATTTCCGTAGCGCACTTGAATGGAACAGATCCCAGGACCGCCAGAGAAAGTGCGTAACCTTGTGATACACATCATCGCTTCTGTTTTAGATGTACCCTTGCCAATTCCATTCATCCCCCAACAGCACTGTCCACGCCTGTCCAAAGGCGACTGACCGACAACTGCTTGTGAATAGAAATTTCAGCTATTTCAGTCTCCAGCCGGACCCCGCTGTGACCAGTGCACATCATAAAGGACAATTCCCACCCCCCCCTCCCCCAAATGAGCACGAAACGCACTCCTCATTTTGTTCATTTAAAAACTTGAAAAAAGTAAGCTAGACACTTCTGGTAAAAAAATATTTTACCTTCATCTCAAGTTTAAAAAAATAAGCTGGAGTCAGAAAGAATTAGTTTTTCTAAAAAATCTAGAAATTGTGGATCTCAACACTGTGGTCTCACTCAGCCAGCCCACTGTCCTCTAATAAGTCCTCTTCAGGTTCTGCCAGCCCCTGGGGAGGCACAGTGGAGGATGAGACTTCAAAATGCCCCGTCAGCTGCCGACCTGCCTGTTGTGCCAATGCGACTCTGCAAGGAGTGGTGGCTGGAAGCCAATGCAGTTCTCCAGACACTGCCATCTTCTCTTGTCTGAAGTTCCCAGAGAAATGAGCAGATCGTGGATAATCTCACAGACTTCAAGCAGATCCCAGAATAGTACAAAGAGGCATATTTTCCAAACACCACCACCGTATTTTAAGCAGGGATACTAAACAGTACATGTAGGAGGCACTGTCTTCCATCAAAACCTGCTCCTGACTCCTCGGTCATTTGACAGAGTATGGGCTCTTAACTCAAGTGCCCTGGCTAAAATCCACTTGGGCCTGCAAAACCTGGCATACCCTAGAAGCCCACCTTAAATCCATCCAACTGATAGAGTAGCTGCTCACTTCTCTACCTGATCCGCTGGCTCTGAATGCCTGCAGTGCATCACCCAGGTGTGTGCTGCAGTAGACCCTTTCATACATGCAGTGGGTTTAGGGGCCTTTTGGAAGAGAAGAACTTTATAGATGCAATAAATAGATTAATAGAAAGCTGCATCAGAGTGCAAGCCGCTAGGGAACAAGCGGAGATTAATTCCATGCTGAATGATAAAAAGAAAAAAACATTCTGGTGCTGAGCTTCTTCAAGTGTGTTCCAATAACTTGCTTGGGAGCTGAACAAAGCATGAATAGGTCTCTAATTACGTAAAATCCTGTAGTGCGTTTAAACCAAATTTGCATACCGTATAACAATGCACTCCCTCATCTGTGTTCGATGGCCTGTAGCAGACTGTGGGAAGGAAACATTTTTTTTATTTGCTTATTAATTTGGTTCTCCTTGTACTATAACTATAAATCTAAAACCAAACTTCTTTATTAATGACTGCTGAGTGTGCTTGTAATTCTTTTTAAATTGGAAACTCACCAAATGGTAATCTCTTTTATTGCGTATCACTAATGAAAGAAGCAATTACACAACATGAGCCACTGAACCCCAACTGACTGCCATCTCAATATGTTCAATACGTACTAGCCAATGACACTCAAAATGAAAGCAAATGACTCCACCAAATGAAAGCAAATGAGGTAGATGTTTGATTTTAAAAAATCCACTTCGATATCTTATCTGTACAGGAAACAGGGAACGCAAATGAAGGGGAACTGTCCCTCTTGTCAGGGTTTTCTCAATGTAAAAATGTTTAATCTTTTCAGTTGTCTTGGAACACGCATGACACACTGCATCACTGTATATGAACAGGTCTGTTGCGGCTCAGAAGAAGCCCAAGCACAGTAACAAGTCTGCTCATAACAGAAAGTGTGAAAGCGATCTGGAAACCCCACTGTGCAAATAAGCGCCAACTAAACAAACACGAAACACAGCGCCTGATTTTCAAAATCAACAGAGGAAAGGAAGCTGCATTGTAATAGCAAACCACAGATACCACTACGGACTAACAAGGCCAACTTTCACAGTAACGCAAGAGCTAGAATTAGCAGGCCAGGTTCTCATGTAGTTCTCCTGAGACCGGCGCCAAACAAGTCCAACAGGCTCAGACACTGTAGTAGGAACCACTGCCTCAGCTTCAGCGCTTCTGGGAATCATCACTATTCCTTCCGCACTGTGTCCAGTTTCAATCCCTCATCCTCAAGCTACGACAGTCTGGGAATCTCCGTCTGTCAGTCTCTGAGGAACAGAGTGCGGATGAGTTGTGGCTTTCTAATCAAAGCCTTGCAACACAAACCCACAGAGTCTAATCCAGAGAAAAATGAGGACTAAACTGTCAGCTGTCGTCATCCGAGTATTAAAATTAAACCTGCAGGTGGAGTTGAGCCGGGGATAAGAACGTTAAGTCTGAAGTGTCAGTGGTTAGAGGTCCACTGTTTTGCACTCAGCACGGCCTCACAAAGGAAATGAGTGAATCATTCAAACTGGGCTCTCACAAAAACATGCTTTCCTGCCCGTTACCAATACACAAGCACATTCACGCAGTTCAGATGGCCATTTAGGCCAAGGCTGCTGTGGAGGAATTAGCTCTCCCCTGAAAAACACTGGAGAAATAAAAGGAGGCCAGGGCACAGCATTCTTCTTATCCTCCTCTTGATTTTCAGTGCTCAGGGTTTCTTCTTGGATCCCAAAACTGCTCTTTTCCTCTCTGAATTTCTACAGCTCACCATAAAGACTCTTCCTTCCCCTATTCCTATCCGCTTCATATGTGCCTATGGCACTCTTCTCAAAAGGCAGAATGCAGACAGAAGAAAACAGCACCTCAAAGACACAAAGCAGAGAAACATGAGCGACTATGCACTAAAGAATACACCTGAAATGAAAGCTAGTGTACAGGAATCCTACACTTCCTTACGTCCCCCACTGAGTCACACTTCTGACAAAATACTGTTCAGCAATATAATGATGTCCTACTACATGAATGAACCGAATGTCTAGTATATATCTTCCCTTTGGTATAACTTGTCAGAGTAAGGGCATGAGAAAAGTAATTAGATATGTAATAACTTTAATTATGAACGGAGCCGGATTTAAAATATTAAATACCGAGTCAGATCACATTACACTTGAGTGGGGGGGGGAGCTCGTGCATTCAAACACGTCTCAGTTTACTCAAGCATTTCACAATATTTAGATGGTTATCAATGGCCAGAGGATCTTTGTCACAGAAAAAAGTGTGTGCTCACAGAAAGTGGCTAACCTGGTACCGGGATTCCTTAAGAACACAAAAACGATCAAATCCACTAGGGCAAACAGCTTGCCCAGCCAAATAAAGCTAAACATTGTGCTCAAGCAAGCACATGGAAACCTGGCAAAGCAGAATGAACACGCACTCATTCACCCCAGATCAAGGCAAGGCATCTATGGTCTGGCGCGACGGAGAAGCTCAAAAACGCGCGATTGTACTATAATTAAAGCGATATAGTTTCAACTTGGTGTGCAAAAGCTCTCCTACATTGAGAAAGCTTTGCACAATCACAAAAATTGCCCAATGCACTGCAGAAATCACAGTGTGGAAAAGAAACCCAATGCCTTACTCAGCACCGTACCTCACCACACTTTTGCTGTCCTATGGTTGAAAAGCAAGTAGTTTCATAATATTAGGGTTACCTGTGGACAGAAACCTGTTGAACTACAAAGATTTCACAGAACAGAATGCACATTTTACGGCATATGGTACGTACACTCCATTTTTATGTCCAGTTGTACCATTAAAAAGGGCAGGGTGTTCCAGATAAAATTTTCAGAAGAATGTTTCCTGGGTTTTTGAAAAACATGGTACTGTTTTATGGGGACTTCCAGGTAAAGACCGATAGCCGGCGTAGCCCACAAAGTTAAATAAGATGTAAGGGGAAGGTACAGGCCTAAGGAGGCATCGTACCAGTTAAACATCGTTTCAGAGTACTGCCACAGGCAAAGAGGTAATGTTCCACAGAAAAATATTGTGGGTAACAACAGCAGCACTGGGGCGTCAGGAGCAACGTAGTAATGAGATAACGGCAAAAAAACACCCTGTGCCCAGCAAACTTGATTTCAAGAGAAGCACCGGGTACAGAAAACTTCATCTTCATCCTACAAATGCACAGTACATTTTTACAGGTGCAACTTTTTCACTTGCTTTATTCAGTTTCCCCG